GAAGGTTTGCTCAAAATAGGGAATCGTTTCCAGAATCCTGCGCGAAACTCTGTTGAATAAGAATCTTGTTGCGTATATAAATCGGTGGTCTCGAACAAAAATAATCTAAGAGAAACATTAAACAAAATAAATTCACTCAGATCATTCAGCTTCATTTTTAGCTCTATTTGTGTTGAATGTTTGCTCCAAATTTCGAGTCGTTTCGAGAAAACAGCTCGAAACTCTGTTGAAAGGAATCTCGTTTTGTATACAGATCGATGTCCTTGAAAAAACTTAATCTCAGAGAAATATTAAACAAAACAAATTCGCCCAGATCTTTCAGCCCTATTCATAGGTGTATGCGTACTGAATATTTGCTCAAAATAGGGAATCGTTTCCAGGAAACAGCGCGAAACTCTGTTGAATGAGACTGTGCTCACCAACACGTTTGTTTGCGGAGGTTCTTTTAGGTTTTTGATTAGTTTCTGGCTTAGAAGAATTTTTGTTTTCAGCAGTTATTTTTGGGAAACAAATAATGCTCAACTTTTGGGCGGTGATTCAGCTGCTTCATCTTTGATTATGGTTTGGCGAAGCTTTTTGAACTCTATTTATTCTATGTAAAACATTTTTTGGCATTGGGTCAGGCATTTTGAAAAGATTTTATGCTTATTTGCCGCGGTTATATAAACCGAACGTTTTTCTTCAATATCACCAAGATAGTTCTCGTTTTTTCGAAGTTTCGTCGAAATGAAATGCTCTTCGATTTATTTGTATAGAGCTTTGAACGAGCTTTCTAAAAGGAAACAAGTTTTTTTAGCCAGTTTTATTTGCGTGAGAAATGTTTAAATGAAACGTAACGCTATCAGTATTTTTAGGGCATTTTTGAGGGCGTCAACATCGCCCGAATGTTTGATTAGTTGTAACCCTTGATCTTCACTGTGTATATCAGCGTTCTGCGAAAAGATCAGATTGATTCATTGACATGGGAGCTTAAAATCTGAACGTTAAGTTGTAAGTCGTATTCGATGTAAAAAGTTGCTCCTAGCTAACAGAGTCAGAACTAAATAACCCAGTTTATAGATAATGGAATACTATATTGAATGGTATGCCTCTCATCAGTTTTTGATAACTTTATTTGTCAGAAAATTATAAAGACGATATCTGACCACTTTGAAACCCCGTTTTCAATATGAAAATCTGTGTTTTTTAGAAAATAAATGTCAGATTCGTAATCAGCGTTAAAAATTACCTCCACTGCCTCGTTCAAATCTGTTGGGCTAGAAAAAGATTTTTGTCGAAATTTGACGAGCGAACTTTCGTATTACGAAGACAAGCCCATTGGGTGATACTAAATATAAGCTGCTTTTCAACTGATCAATCATTTAATTCTTAATGCACCAATAATAATGATACACAAAACCGAGAGAAAAAAAAGAAAAAAGAAAATACAGAAAAAAGAAGAAAAAGAGAAATGGAGAACGGGTTCGCTCGAATGCTTCATAATATAAATAGTCGCGCTTCACCTTTGTATAAGCAGTTATATTCATATTTTTTTAAACACAAGTCACAAACCAACTATTTCTTCTCGTTTTCACATTATCATCAACGAGTAAGTTTCATTTATATTTTTTTATAATACTACGTCGCACATAGACATTACTGTAAATAGCAGCTATCTAAGTGTACTGATCACTATCTGGGTATATGAGGGACCATCTGGGTGCATTAGTCACTATCTGGGTATATGAGGGACCATCTGGGTGGATCAGGAACCATCTGGGTGGACTAGTGCTTATCTGGGTATATGAGGAACCATC